ATATTCAAAATAATAGTATAATTATATTACTGCACATACCCTCCTACATATATGTGTGAACATCATCGCCTTTTGTACAATGTCATGAGTGTATACTCATATATATTTTCATCCTGTGTTTCTGTGTATGAGAAGAATAATTAAAATAATCTTGAAAAATAGCATAACACATTTGGCTTTTGCTATTTCATAGGAAAACACTGTGTTCAGAAGTGGCCAAGATAGCTATTTAACAAAAACTTTACTCTATTGTTAATCATGTCACCACCTCACGAAGGTTATGATATGATAGACAATCAAACAATACATTTGGAAGTGATGTCATGGTTAGAAATTAAACATGGCAATGGGTAGTAATTACAGATAATAAGCAACACGACCATTTTTTATAGGAATTGCATTTTTTCATTAGCGATCTGTATAAGAGAAGAAATTGTATTCCGCTTTAGTTCCGCATTACCACTTTTATGCGCTGCTATATTTAGCTACAAATGACGGATATCGAGTCAGTAGCACTGCCATTGGCGCACTTTGCAGAACGGAGTAAAAATAAAAAACACAAGAAGTGCAGATGATTTTGCTCTCATTGTCAATCAAACACATAGTTGCATGTGACAGATATAATTCTCAATAGTGTTTATGCCAGTTCTGATCGTATCCCACTTCTGGTCGCTACACACGTGCATGCACGTCGGTATGTAAGTCCAATAATCTTGGTCGCGACGTTAAACCCCATTTCACCTCACCTCATTTGGATAGATTCTGTGATGTTCGCTGCGCAGATTTAACTATTTCTTTCACTCTTGTTATCTTGAACGTTGAAAGAAAGGATACTGAAAGTCAGCAACCCAGTTAAACTGATTACGCATCCATAATTCATAATTCGTTCAATCGCTTAAAAAGTAAATGTTGTAATTCGTTCTATGCATGTTTAAGGATATACCTCTTTCTCACGGTATGGACGCGCCATAGGCATGTGTTTTGTACCAGGTAATGCCAAGATTTCTTGCTCGATCTTGTGAGCTATCAAGGTGTGCTGCTGCTTCAGGTATTACTTGGGTACCTTTCGGGAAAGTGTGGTCTATTCCGGAAGGTGTGCTTTGTACAATGTATTACTTAGCACTTTGCTGGAATGTGTGAGCTATGCTATGTGTGATGTTGTACCATGCACTATCTTGCTGGAATGTGTGAACTGTTCTGTACGTTGTGTTTTGTGCAATGTATTACCGGCGTACCTTGATGTACGGTGTGAACTATTCTGTAAGGTATGTCTTTAGTACTATGTATTACTTCGTTACCTTGCTGGATGGAGTGAACTATTCTGTAAGGTATGTTTTTGTACCACGTATTACTAGAGTACCTAGCTGGAATGTATGAATTATTACATAAGGTTAAAGTGTGTTTTGTACCATGTGGTACCAGGGTACCTTGCAGGATGGTGTGAACTATTCTGTAGGGTGCGTTTTCTATCATGTATCACTTGGGTAGCTTGCTGAATAGTTCGGGTTATTCCATAAGGTGGGTAAGTTCTTGTAGAATGTATTACTTGAGCTAATTGCTGCATGGTGTGAACTATTCTGCAAATAATGTTGTTGTTTTTCACAGGGCGATTGTGGACGTTGTAAAACATGTATAGCTCGGCTCTGTGTACCAGGGAGATTGTGGATGTGGTTAAACTTGTATAGCTCGAGCTCTGTCTGTGTAGCAGGACGATTGTGGATGTGGTGAAACTTGTATAGCTCAAGCTCCGTCTGTGTAGCAGGTAGATTGTGGATGTGGTTAAACATGTATAGCTATAGCTCTGTCTGTGTAGCAAGGCGATTGTGGATGTGGTTAAACATGTATAGCTCGAGCTCTGTCTGAGCAGCAGGGCGATTGTGGATGTGATGAAACTTATATACCTCGGGCTCTCTCTGTGTAGCAGGGCGATTGTGGATGTGGTTAAACTTGTATAGCTCGGGCTCTCTCTGTGTAGCAGGGCGATTGTGGATGTGGTTAAACTTATATACCTCGGGCTCTCTCTGTGTAGCAGGGCGATTGTGGATGTGGTTAAACTTATATACCTCGGGCTCTCTCTGTGTAGCAGGTCGATTGTGGATGTGGTTAAACATGTATATCTCGAGCTCTGCCTGTGTAGCAGGGCGATTGTGGATGTGGTGAAACTTGTATAGCTCGAGCTCTCTCTGTGTAGCAGGGCGATTGTGGATGTGGTTAAACTTATATACCTCGGGCTCTCTCTGTGTAGCAGGCCGATTGTGGATGTGGTTAAACATGTATAGCTCGAGCTCTGTCTGTGTAGCAGGGCGATTGTGGATGTGGTGAAACTTGTATAGCTCGGGCTCTCTCTCTGTAGCAGGCCGATTGTGGATGTGGTGAAACTTATATACCTCGGGCTCTCTCTGTGTAGCAGGTCGATTGTGGATGTGGTTAAACATGTATAGCTCGAGCTCTGTCTGTGCAGCAGGGCGATTGTGGATGTGGTTAAACTTATATACCTCGGGCTCTCTCTGTGTAGCAGGGCGATTGTGGATGTGGTTAAACATGTATAGCTCGAGCTCTGTCTGTGTAGCAGGGCGATTGTGGATGTGGTGAAACTTGTATAGCTCGAGCTCTCTCTGTGTAGCAGGGCGATTGTGGATGTGGTTAAACTTATATACCTCGGGCTCTCTCTGTGTAGCAGGCCGATTGTGGATGTGGTTAAACATGTATAGCTCGAGCTCTGTCTGTGTAGCAGGGCGATTGTGGATGTGGTGAAACTTGTATAGCTCGGGCTCTCTCTCTGTAGCAGGCCGATTGTGGATGTGGTTAAACTTATATACCTCGGGCTCTCTCTGTGTAGCAGGTCGATTGTGGATGTGGTTAAACATGTATAGCTCGAGCTCTGTCTGTGCAGCAGGGCGATTGTGGATGTGGTTAAACTTATATACCTCGGGCTCTCTCTGTGTAGCAGGGCGATTGTGGATGTGGTTAAACATGTATAGCTCGAGCTCTGTCTGTGTAGCAGGGCGATTGTGGATGTGGTGAAACTTGTATAGGTCGGGCTCTGTGCAGAAGGGGGATGGTAGATGTGGTTAAACTTGTATAGGTCGGGCTCTGTGCAGCAGGGCGATTGTAGATGTGGTTAAACTTGCATATCTCGGCCTCTGTCTGTGTAGCAGGGCGATTGTGGATATGGTGAAACATGCGTCACTTGAGATGTGACCTGCCTCCTCAAATAGTTGACAAATATTCTGGTCTTAATTTGTTTCCATTTGTTTTTGTTATTTCGGTCATAAATGATTTTTTTATATTTTTTGGTTAAAATTACACTGACGACACTAAGAATCAAAAGCTACGCCCAGTTTAATTGTGGAACGCATCGAGACATACATTGTATGTTTCACAAGCTATTAAGTGAAGTAAGTATGGTTTATGCATTTTATGTACACTCACAAAGAAATTAGGAATAAAACCAGTTTATGGTTTTACATCATCAAACAAACAGAGTTGTGTTTACATTACGGCCCAGCTGAATTAGACGGAGACGGTGTGTGTTACCACCACCACATGTCGTTACTGCTGTTAAATACTCCACACAAAACGCATGTTGATATGAGTAGTTCAAAGCGGGTTCAGTTCTATCGCATGTCAAGCTCAGCAGTATCCAAGATCACAAGTTATTTGCCAACGTGCCCGAAAGATAAGTGACTCATCAAATGCGTTAATGAAAGTTGGAAACTAAATAATGTAGGTGTTACTTGAATATGTGTATTGAACGATGTCTTAAATATGAACAGATTATGGAGTTTAATGAATGACCATATGAATGAGTTTAGTAAAATAAGTGTTATATAGGATAGTTTATGGTCTATTATCTGTCGTTGCGTCATATTTGATAACCGCCTTTTCTGTCAATTAACATGTTTATTATATGTTTATGTCACTCAGTTAAGATTGAAAATGTCAACATAACGTCAACATTTTCAGGTCATAACACAAATTAAGCATCTTCTTCTAGAGGTATCATCTACATGACATCTACCCTGATAGGGCGTGGCGTCGTCATCTAATGTGACTTCAACAATGGCCTTAGCATTACGCTAACAATGGTGTTAGCATTACGTCAACAATGACGTCAGCATTGCGTCAACAATGGTGTTAGCATTATGCCAACACTGATGTTATCATTACGACAACAATGGTGTTATCATAACGTCAACAATGGTGTTAACAATACGTCAACAATGATGTCAGCATAACGTCAACAATGGTGTTATCATTACGTCAACAATGGTGTTATCATAACATCAACAATGGTGTTATCATTACGACAACAATGGTGTTAACATTACGTCACCAATTATGTCAGCATTACGTCAACAATGGTGTTATCATTACGTCAACAATGGTGTTAACATTACGTCGACAATTATGTCAGCATTACGTCAACAATGGTGTTATCATTACGTCGACAATTATGTCAGCATTACGTCAACTATGGTGTTACCATTACTTCAACAATGGTGTTAACATTACGCCAACACTGCTGTTAGCATTATTTCAACAACGGACTTAGTATTACATCAACAATGGTTCAGCATTACGTCAACGATGATGTTATCATTACGTCAAACACATGGTCTTTGCATTATGTCAACAATCCGCGTGTATTTTTATATAAATCGCTTATTGGGGTGTATTTATACGCTGCAGTCGGAAAGCGCACGTTAAATCTTCTATATCAGTCAGAGTATTTATGCTGTAAACCCTCCGGTATTATCGCTGTTGCATTCGTTGAGGGAACACTGTTGCAGAGCTTTTCTTACAAAAAGTTTTTACCTCTGATATTACGTGTCGGGCAACAGTGAAGGGTATGTGTGTATTTGTGATCGGTGATGGCAGTTGTATGCAAGCCGGGGACTGGCCATGTATTATGTTGTAATAAATTCGGTCGTGTATCGCACAGCGTGTTCCACCGTTATATGTGGTATATGTTGTGATTCGGTGTAACGGGTGGGTTTAGGAGAAATAGGTGGTGTTGGATCGCCAGGACATGGCAGTTCCTGGAGACGCGTGCATTTAAGCGTGACCCACGGTAACAGGTATAGCGAGACAGCAGTAGCGCTATCACACAGTTATTGACCGCGCTTTCGGAATACTGCGTTGTTGACCAGGTAAGTACTTCCCTGATATCAATTATATCTAATATATTACGTAATAACCAATCAAGTAACGGCACTCAATCTTCAAATACAATGTACATGTGTACATGTACTTGCCTGGAACAATTAGAAGCCTCACCCTGCGACATATCCTAAAGATTTGGGTTGTTATCAATGGGTATAGTTCAGACTTACCACCAGTTACGGCCGGAGTTCCACAAGGGTCAGTTTTAGGACCGCTACTGTTTCTAAGTTTCATAAACGACATTATAGACGATATTGATAGTAATTTAAGATTGTTTGCCGATGACACATCCCTATATGTCGTGGTAAATGACCCGAATACAGCAGCACATTGTCTGAATAACGATCTAAGTAGAATATCCTCTTTGGCAGAAAACTGGCAGGTCGATTTCAATCCTAATAACACAGTATCTATCCAATTTTCCCGGAAGATTCTTCCAAATGTAAAACCAGTTTTGAAAATGAGTAACACAACTGTTCAGGAAGTTCATTCTCATAAACATCTTGGACTTACTCTCCAGGAAGATTGTATGTGGAACGATCACATTGATAGCCTAGTCAAGAAGGTCAGTCCAATGATTAACTGTCTCAGGAGTTTCAAGTATCGTTTAAATAGAAAAACACGAGAAACTATGTATAAATCTTTCATATTACCGATATTTGATTATTGTTGCCACATATGGGACAACTGCACAAAGGAACAGGCGTTACTACTTGAAAAACTAAATCTAGATGCACTCAGAACTATTTGTGGGGCTGTTCGTAGCACCAGTCACGGTAAACTTTATAAAGAAACAAATCTTACATCATTAGAAGAAAGAAGGCATTTTCAAAAGTTAAATATTTTTTATAAAATGGTTAACAATCTAGTATCGGACTATCTCTCATCCTTAGTTCCAAATAGAGTGTCGGGTGCAAGTGATTATAATTTGAGAAACTGCTCACAGCTGCAAACCACAAAGTGTAAATCAAATAATTATGCCAAATCATTTATTCAAGATACAGTTAATATTTGGAACTCACTACTTATTGAATACACCAATGCCAGTAGCTTAGGAAGTATTAAAAGTTTTATAAAAAGCAATGATAGGAATGGTATATACTTTGATACAAATTATGGATCAAGGTTCTGTCAGGTTATACACTCCCGTCTCAGGCTTGGATGCAGTCATCTAAACGCTGACAAATTTGCCAGATTTATATCCGACAGCCCGAGATGTTGTTGTGGCTATCATACGGAAGATGCACTTCATTTCTTTCTTACGTGTCCCTTAAACAGTACAGTAAGGCAAAACATGTATTATTTCGTAAAAGGCTACGAATTAAATTCAATACTAAATGGTAATTCAAATGTAACGAAATCGGTGCACAGTTTTATTCTATCTTCTTGCCGATTTAGAGATTTTGTCTGAGATGATGGCTTTGTTGTGCTGAATGTAAATAATAATGTAACTGTAGTTAAGGAAGATAATCCAGTAATTAAACACTTACAGAACAATACTTACCTTTAATGCCAATTATACAATGTATGCTATTTCTCATGTCACTATAAATACATTGCTATTTGTATATGTATTATGTTTGGGAGAGGCATTAAGATAAGCAAAATGTGTTTGTTTGCCAATCCCTCCACTTTATGGATAAAATAAGTTTATATCACATATCTTAAAGATTTGGTGACCCCCCTTCGAGATGAACCAGACGAAAATATATTCACAGAGGCGTGTTCAAGATGGCCGGCGATCGTGCTTTCTCGCTCTCACGACACAACATTCCAACTGGTGTAGCCGGGGCTGAAACAGCACCATCCACAAGTTTGAAAGGGTCACACATTAACTTTATGACAATATTGATGGGTTCATTCTTTGATGTACAAAATGTTTATTTTTGATATTGAACATATTTGTTTGTTCGTCGTTTTCCGCCGTATTCAGCAATATTCTAGCTATATGACGGCCGTCTGTAAACAATCGAGTATGGACAAGACAATCCAGTGAACGATTTATGGGATATGATGGCATCAACCAAGTCAGCGAGCCTGACCACCCGATCCCGTTTGGTAGCCTCTTACGACAAGCACAAGCGGATTTTCAGGGGTTAAAACGGCAATGAAGCTTTTGAATGGTAGATCTAGTCAAACATTGTACAATGTGCGAGGCCATCTTGGATTTCAAGGCGAACGACCTCCCGGGCTTTATCGCGAGTAAACCATGCGATCGTTCAGTCAGTCATGTTCAAAAGGACTTGGCAAAAGAATAATCAAAGGGATCCTTTTGGGAACACTCTGCACAATAGTACCTATTGTGCTGTCAGCTTGTATCGGTTTCCTACTAAAACAAGACATTGTCTTAGGTATGCGGTTCTCATTGAGGTGTATGTGCGCACTCACCCGTGACGATAATGGTCAGAATAAATAGAGGTTATCACGCGAGTGTGTTTGGGGATGGTAAATATCCTGCATTAGGAATAAACATTGTATTTAGCGAGCCTTGGCAAGCTAAATACATTGTGTTTATTCCTAATATAGGATATTTACCATCCCCAAACACACAAGCGTGATAACCTCTTTATCATATAATGTCATTCTTAAATTCTGTGCTTCAAAATCGCTTTCCCTCTCTCACAAACATTACCGAAACATTGCGAGTTTTCCTGGAATGCGCGCATTAATATTTATTACATCACAGGGTAAGTGATGTGTCAGTCTGACAGTGACAGTAGCCAATATAGTTCCAACTGAAATCTGTTTCTTATACACACTGCAAACACGAAAACGTCGTTTTTTTCCGTATATGGTCATTGGACGGAAAAACGACTAAAAATTCATTAAAATTGATTAATTGGTCAGCGTCTAGAAAGTGTCCAGAAAAGGGTCGAGTTTTTCAAGCGTAAAATGGACGGAAAAACGATGCATTTTGCTCCGCCTTGTACAACTGTTAACGGCCAATCAGATGGCGCTGGTCCCCCGACGCACGTGATGTCCAAGGCTTTCTTTCGGAAGCTTTAGGTTTCGTATTTCTGGCATGCCTTGCTCTAGTATCTGTCGCGCGCAGTGCAGCGAGATTTGCTGATAAGCTAGTTTTAGGATATGTTACATGTTAATGGAATTCAGACACGCGCCAAGAAGTCAAACCAAACAATGTTACTAAGTTTATTGTGGTAACGGCTATGTACAGTTACCCCTATCGGATAATGGGTTGTGTTTCATTTGGTTATAACAATAACTAATTTTTTAATGTGAAGTTTACAAGATATACGACTTGGACGCGAGGTCGGTCACATGACGTTCTTCACGTGACTGTATTCTTGAAAAGGCGTAAACACTGACTATTTCCACATTCCTGCGGAAAACCCTTGGAATTCCCTGGTACGAATTCATACAGAAGCGTGGTTGCAAGCCCATTTAAGGATACCCTCGCTACAACCCATCCCAGAGAGAAAAAACACGAAAAAAAATCCAAACTGTCGCAGTGACAATTTACAGAAATCTATGAATTTACCTTAGTATCTATTTGACACATCTTCACAATCACCTTTCAATGATCGGCCAATTGATCAGTGATGCCAAAGGCTTGAAATAGCCACAGGTTAATTAACAACTTCGAAAATATCTCCCGTCATGTTTATCGTGTCGGCCATTTTGACGTATTGTACTTGATGTAAATGTATTACGACGCTCTGTCATTGTAATTGACTTACTGAGGTAATTCTGTAAAAGATCTTCTCATCTAATGAGGATATTGTTTGGAATATATTTCTTGTAAACATACTAAAACATATGTTCCTCGCTTTGGGGGGAACTATTTTATTCCGGGGTGGCCCATTAAATCTAGTAGTAAGTCAAGGCACCATGCGTGATCTGTTATTTTATGTGTTTAAATTACGATTTGGGGCGTTAATAAAATACACTGACGCAAGTATATTCTATTCTAATGATGCCCGTCCTCAGTTTAACCGAGCATGTAAATTATTTTGTCCGTCAAAAACATGGACGAGTATAAACAATATGTTCATTCACGTAATACATGTCATACATTTGACAAAATGTATTGACTCGGAGCATTATTGTTAATCACAGCGTATGCAGTTGAACTCATCACCCATCCCATTATTGATAACCCTTCTTGAAGATCTATGAAATCAGAAGCTGCAACACTCTATCTTTTAACTGGCATGTCAGACTTCTATTTCATTACTCAGTTTTATTTGCACGATTACTATGGAAGGGACATTGTCTCGTTGTCGCATTGACGCCTTTACAAAAACAAGCAAAACGTGTCAAAATTAACAAAAGCGCGACAATTGGCCATTTGTCGCATTGTCGCGTGTTCGCATTGTCGCTCTTTGATAATCCTTTTCTTTATTTTACAAAAGGGCGACGATGCGGTAACGCGACATTTTCAAGGTCAAAATATGTCTCGTTGTCGCATTGTCGCCCCATCACAAATGTGTATAAAAGGCGTAAAGTTCAGTTATTGTTACAGTTAGAAAGTTCAACCTGATAAATGTACGTCTTGAAATGAAAACACAAGTCCGTCCGCGAGTCCAAAACGTTTTATTGTGAGTTCTTCTCTAAAAGTGCTTAGTGTTCAACTCCCAGTTCCAAACACGTAGTACCTCCTCAATAATCCACATACCTCCAGTGCAGTGGTCTTCCGGAAGATCTTACTCTTGACCGTATTAGACAACTGACGAGTGCACGCCTGACCTGTGACCTCGTTGCAACCCTCGTGGTGTGTTTGCCGAAGGGAGAGGTGTAGGAAATGTGTGCTCCAGCCCAGCGCAGAGCTCGCGACACACTCTATACTGATGTATACATAGACTAATATATAGTCTCTGAAATGAACATATCATACAGAAAAAAACAGTTGTTCAGTTATCTTAATAAAAATCTAATAAAAAGGGAGCCCATTGATTCTCTTCATTTTCAGATACTGCAGTAATATAGACTTGCCAAACATTATAGACTTGCATGGGCTGTAGTTGAT